GGTAGTGGCGCGGGGCGGCGGCAGAGGGCAGCAGCGGCGCCTCCCATGATGCACCATGATGAACCGCGGCTCAAGAACCATGCGGCCGGTGCGGCAGCCATCTTGGAGTATCTAGGTCGTCTCTCGTAGGGACACGTCCCTCATTTCGGTGAGTTTTACCTCTTCTCTCACTATCGGACGCACGTCTGATGGTGCACGAGGGCGGCGTGTGTGACGAAGGAGGTGCGGCCGCGGTATAGCGACGGGTTTTGGAGTGGGCGACGTGTTTTGGAAGAGAGTTGAGTGAGCCCGTTATCCAGGGTGTCACAGCGATGTTTTGTGACCATATTGACCCTGTGGTCGAGCTTCACTGCAGTGACCCAGCACCCACCGTGGCTCTGCTGAGCTCAGCATGGGATGTTAGTGCCGAGCCTGCTGTGCCTTTTATGTAAGGAAATGTGATGATGAAATAGATTGTGCAGACCACCACCACTACCACGGAAACAGCTGTTTACGCCAGCCAAAATATCATTTCTCGCTAGTTCCCTCACGCTTTCGCTATCACAATCTACGCAGGTATGCTGTACAGTTTCATAGTATGGACGGCCGGTGCTTTGGTGGGGATTTCTAAGCTTTAAGGCTGGAAAGTGGGGCGTACGTTATGCACGAGGGGTTAGCGTAGGTTCCGTATGGAGAAACTGGTGTGTTATGTTGTATCGGCGGAATATGAAGCCTCTGCGCCTCATTTTGCCACATTCCAGTGCTTCAAGAATTGCTTTTGATGGAGAACTACCTATTGGGATGAATATTTTTCTCCTAGTAAGAGTGGGTGTTAGGTATTCATATACTTGTTATTGTTTTTATATTGGAATTCCCACTTTACAAGGAAAACATTTTATACCTGTGCATTTTGCTTTTAGAGTTTTTCTCCGGAAACAAGTTGGAAACATGTTAATTAGTGCGTGTGAATGCAATACTGCTTTAATATATAACATATTAGTCAAGGAAACTGGTCCAAACTTCTATTTTGATTTTGATTCTGTAATGATGCAAAACAAGTAACATCAGCTTTTTATCCATTGAGTCTAGTGTTTGTTAAGAAATGATGAATTAGTGGTCAGTTGCAGAAATTTTAGTATATTTGCATGATAGTGAAACAAACTTTTTGCATTATATATAATGGTAGTGAGACAAACTACATTTCAAGGTGCATTTGAACAACATTATCTTGTGACACCGTAGTCGACTGTTATAGCAGTTTAAGTTAGAGGCATAGTTTCCATTGCCCTATTTTTGTTATACCATAACTACATTGTATATCATTTTGGTTACTTTTGCAATTACTAGAAATTAGAATAAATAGGAAGTGCTGTAACAATTGGCAGAACTTTGCTGTGGAGATGCTGAAGTTCTGACTGACGAAAAGATAGTTTGTGCGTTTTTAGATATACTTTCATTCTATTATATTTTTAAAGGCTTTTGCTATAATGTAAAACAAACTGCATTAATTTGTGTAGATCTGTGGTGTGATTCCTCATTTGAAAAACTGGATGATAAGCTAAATCTTACTAGAATGTATCTACCAGGTTTGTCTGCCCTTTCTACAGTGGAAGATGTTGCCCACAGAATTGCTAGGTTTATGCACACTAGGATATTATGAACTTCATGGGATTATTTTGGCGTTATCTTGTATGCAAGTGTTTTGGTCAGTGTGGATAACAGGATACCGGCTTGTTTTTGAAGCAATTTTGATATTTGTCTGCAGGAAATCCACCGATTTCTATTGTCCGTAGCATTGCTCCTTATACAAATGAATCGTTGAGGAGATCGTGGACTGCTAGTCCCAATTGCAGTGGAGGGTATGAAGTAAATCAGGGAAATTATGGGGTAAAACAGGCTAAATAGATATAATTTAGAACAAAAATTCATAAAAACCGTAAAAAAGGCTGAAAATTGCTTCATGAAACCCAAGGGAGATACCCTCCATCTTTTAAAGCCTATGGGCTGACGCACCAACTTTTGAAAAATTCTGCTGGCATCCAACCAATATTTCAGTAAAATCTACAACCATAACATGATCCTAGCTAGGGGGCCCCACCCCCTAGACCCCCTGTGTGTCTAGTTAGATGGCTACACCCTCTGGATCCCCATGGTTGTATATTTTCCCCTGAACTCCCATGGTCGTATATGTGTCTAGCCAAGGGGAACACACCCTGAAGCCCCATGTTATTTATGCAGTATGCTCTATTTATATAATGATTAGTTCTAATTTGCTCCCAGAAAAGCACATAGTGAGGACACTAAGCTTTTTGAACACTCGAGCGATTGTCTGAATTAGTGTTTTTTGACATTTGGGACACGTAATGAACTCAAATAATAGATTGGGATGGTTAGTCATATCTTTTCCTTATTTGTTGCCCCTGTGAAGGCTTAAGTATAACCCAGATTCAACACCATGAAAACCGCATTTATTACTGGCATTTGTCGAGGCACTGTCGAAAATCCGGTCACGAAGACACTCGCACGCACAAGATTATTGGGAAGATCTTTATAAATAAATTTTTAAAAATGTTGAGAAAGTGTAATAACATTAAAGTAATTTAACCCAATGGCACCGGGTGTACAAAACAAAAAAAAAACTCTACGCTCTAGCAAACAAAGGCGGCGCGCCAACTTTGAGCACGTGAGTAGGGGACATCAGCCTGAATCACTGGTTCGCCGCTGCGTACAGCCACACGCCAGCTTTCGAGCGGTCTGTTTTCATGCCAATCGGCGTCACCCGGCGTTAAGGGTTAAGGTTAAGTTAAATGCACATATATGGAAAAGCAGACACTGATAATTCCCCCAAAATAATTTTGACAAATGCATGACACAATCCATTTTCTTCCATTCTGATGTTATTCCTTGCCAGTTCATTTTATTTCAGGTATTAATGAGTGCATTTCTTTCTTTCTTTTTCTTTCTATGTGACATTGTCCTTATATTTTCCATAACTTATTCTGGTCATTATAAAAATGTGCTAATGAATTGAATGTCCTTGGGTTATTTTTCCCCCCCCAGTTGATTGTTCTTTTCAAGACAGAAGCACATCAGTTTAAACAAACCCATCAGTTCATTAATAACCAGGGATGAAGATTGAAAAGGCTGCCTCGAGTTTGATATATCTTCATCATAGCTTAATTTTCATTTTGTGCTGGAAACATAAATGAAGTCTTAGATTTCATCAGGTTATTGATTAAATTTTTTGTCAATAGTGTGATTGTCACACATGAAAACAGTACCATTATATTTTGTATTATCTCTTTAACATCTTGGCTTTTCTTATGGCTGAAGAAGTTAACATTTGTGACTATACCATTCCAACTACATTAACCCTTTGCCAACGGGCATTGCATGTACGTACATGCCATGCCCATTGTGAGTTTACTTGGTTAATTGTTTTTATACATAGATGGCTACTTGTACTAAATCACCAATGAGCCAGTTACGAGTACCACCTGTCTCGCCTGTTCACCCTTTTCATCAATTTACGAAAATATTTAATGTTATCTTATTTTGCTGTTACAAATGTTTATAAGATTACAGTAATTATAATGTTTATAATAAAAGCAACACCATCTATATTTATAGCAATAGTAAAAATACGTTTTTTTGAGCCAATTCAAGGAAAGGTGAAATCCATTATGCCTAAGCACTAGCAGAGCCACCTAGTAACAGGGACATTTCACAAAAAATATAAAAAATGAGCACACAATTTCCCCCATTTTTTATTCATTTTCCCCGTCGGGATACAATACAGTTTTGAGGTATGAGGACACTGGACAAAACACAACTAGTAATAAAAGATAAGTTTATATTCAATAGACCTAAAAAGACATCCAGTTTGCACTTGAACCCCTCCACTACATATATTCTGCAAGACACATAATGGACTAATTCCTGACTTGACAGCAGATCACTAAAGTGGCATACAAACTTTGTATTGCCGTAAGTCTATGGTGCTTTATCATCTTTTTCCAATGCCAAGACATGATGGCCTATGTTAGTGGTTAGGACAGTGTGGGAGTATCTTTTGACAGGTCATTGTAGACTTTCCTTCCCTTTGCAGATATTTGATATCATAATCTCTCTTTAAGGAATAATCTCTCTCTCTTTGCACTGGCCTCATATCAAAATGTGAACCAATTGTGTTTGTATGAAACCAATAGCTGTATTGGCAAAGCAAGTTATCTCAAATACCATAAGTGCTTTAAGCTTCAATATGACTGTAGTGTTTTTAGTCCATACCCTATAGTGATCTTAATTTTTATCTACAACATATACTAAGAGGTTATCTTTGTTATTCCAGCTGGTTTACCATTTAGGAATTGTAATGTGATTTGATCACAACCTTGATGGATATGTTGGAAAATATCTAGATAGTTGGATTGTCTGTGTAAATGATGTGGAATGTAAACATTGTATCCATTTCAAGAAGATTTTACGTTTTATTAGGGCTTGATATAGCATAACTTAATATTGCTACAGAGTTGTAATAGCCACTTAGATTTTATCATTTGAGGATTCTTTATTCATGGGCCACTGCCTCAACTTTACCCTTGCATGCCATGTAACAAATCTTACTCTAATTAAACCAGGCAAAAACCTGTTCCATCCAAAACTCTGTAACACCCAAGAGCATGGGAGCTTCAATTTATTTTATGGTTTACAAGGTTTGTATAATTTTGGAGTCAAACTCAAAACCAGGGATTATTACCCATTTTGCCAGACCAAAACCCACAATCAAGGAAATTGAGGATAGCCTAGTTATGTAAGCTAGACTTTTATTTGCTTGTTTTGTTTTTAGGAACCATAAGAATTACTTTATATAATCTTGAAAGTATATAAATAACAATAAGCTCATTTCGACTCTTTCATAGGAAAATCACATAGTTTTAAAAGAGCCATGAATTATTGCAAGTGGTGGAGTTTTCAGTTTTTCTCCTTTGAGTTATAATTATTAGATAATATATTTTTCTTTTTCTTACTGAACTGATCAAAATGCAAAAGAAATGAGAAAAAAAAAATATGTACTGGCTTTTGCACTTCATGTTGCAAATTGCAATTTAAAACCAGTTTAGTCATAGCTAGGCCAGGGAAGTATGTAACAATACAGGGACCAAAGCCAAGTCTGAAAGGCAAAACTGTGGTATCAGTGTTATTGTGATGATTTGGAAAGCAATCTTTATTTCATTATTTTACAAATATTAGGCAGTGTTGATGTAGAAGATAGAATGCATTCTATTCTTAAAGTTCTCAATGTGAAAAATAAGATTTTTTATTATGTAACAAAACTCGCAAAAAACTACTCAGGACTGAACATAAATCCATTGTTATTGGGTTAACATCATCATATTACATAATGATATTATTAACAAGATTTGAAGATAACTGATAGACAGGTACTCTCTATTAGTCAATCGGTCATGTGTATAATGAGAATTTTCGAGATGTAGATCATCACCCATTTTCACAAATAACACTAAATATGAGCAAATGTCTGTCATTCCTACACATTTAGTCCATACACATTTCAAAACTTTGGATAAGGAAGTATGTGTTTTGTAATGAGTGATTTAGTAATTGAGATAAATGATAGGTCTTTACTTACACATTCACTCCAAAAAAAAAATATATATCTTTTACTTTCATGACGACTTATTTTTGTATAATGGTTAATGTTTTAAACAAATAACATTCAGACATGATTTAGTTAATTTTTCATTAATTCAAAGAAAAAAATTATAGCCGTCCATGTGTTATTTTCTTTTTTATATCATATGGCCTATGACAATAACATTATTCTATAGGATATAAGGGGAGCATTTTTGGTTAATATCAGATATTTGTGTGTGTTAAGGGTTAGGTAAAATAATGCATAAAAAAATGTAAAAGCACGTTTAAAGGAATGATCTATAGTTATTAATGTGATTAATAGCCACTGTCAAATGGGTTTCCAAGGCCTGTAGTTAAAAAGAATAGTATAAGTTTTGTTTAGAGGCTGGATTCATTAGCATTTTAAGGATGAACGGGTTTCAACCTCTATGAATACCATATATGTTCTATATTTGCATAATGATTTTGTCTATGCAGTCACCGAGGTCAGGTCACTCAAGTAATCTCATCTTTATATAGGGGCCTAGGGGACCATTAGTGGAAATTGCTAACCCCTTGTTTGTGGGTGGCATCTACTATGATGCTATGGTGGTGTTGCACTGATGTCGCAGGTACTGATATGGGGCTAGTGTACTGTCTGTGAAGGTCCAGTACACTCCCATTATAAAATGGTCATAACTTTATTATGAAATTGGCAGAAATGATATGTCTAATGTTTTTGAGATCCTTTACTTTTTTAATATTTTGATATTTTTGAAAATGATAACTGAAGAATTCCACCGGTAGTCCCCTTAACCCTGTAAGGCAGTGCAATTGCTAATAATTTTTCTCATGGTAATACATAGTCGCATTGCAGTACCATGTAGTAGCAGTTGACTACATTATGTACAAGTTCTGCTGTATTGACTGTCAAATCATCATAACTTTTTCACATGTTAAGAATGTAATATTGTTAGCACTCTTGACAAAAAAATTTGTAAGTTTATTATTCTGCTTAATCTCATGACTTGGAATACCCCCTATAGATTGGCCATCAGGAGTATAAATGAATCCAGAGGGTGTTGATGGGTCAGGGGGCAGTATTCACCAAAGGGCTATCTCTGCTTTTAGGAATTTTGTCGACAGTTTGTGTTGTTTCCACATCTCAAGCTAAAGCTGCTAATTATAAAAAGCATTTACAGTGTTATAAACCCTATGTTGATAATTTATGGTAATGATATGAGAACTAAATATTAATAACAATAAGGTAAATATTGTAATAGATTTTATGTGTATTATGATGATATCAAACACTTAGTATATATAAATTTAATGTGGCACCCCAGATTTATTTGCTTTGCATTGGTTGTAAAAGCATATTGTACTGTTTGTATTTTTCAGATGGTTGAAAACTAAATGAGTCACTTAACCTTTGACCATAAATGAATTAGGGCTTTCCATATTATTTCCAATGCTGAATAATCTACAACGGGAAAAAAAATGCTTATGGTTGGATTGGAACAGTTCTTACAGACATGAATAGAAAATAAAATGAAAAATATCGGAAATGGCTTAATTAAAGTTCAACAGTAAATCAAAAAAGGGCATCTAAATGTGCAATATAGTTTTAAATGAAATCCTTACATGTATGTGACACTTCCTTACCTGTCTTAAAGCTGGGTCATAGACAAAAACTGGCTGTCAAAAATATTTTGGAACAGTCAAAGACAAATCTGCAGTCAATGACATAAGGATAACCAAGTAGTGACAAGTAAACCATAGGGGCTGACTTTGATGTATCGCCAAACCATTAATTTATCTGTTTCCTACATAGTGACATAAATTTTTTATTAGAAAGTACAAGTGATGCCACAAGCATTCATGTATGTATGCAGTGCAATGCCAAAAAACACACAGTTGCCCAAATTAGTTAAATTTATATGGTGTGTGTGTAGTATGACTATATAAGTAACATTTATTGCAGTACTGTTTTGTTTACATTAAGAATACCTGTAAATAAAGCCCAGTAAGTACAATATACCGTATACAGTACCAGAATCTTGAACTATATTCGTGCCCGGGAAATTTGAAGTTTACTAGCATCTTTCAAACAATTTTTTGGACTTTAGTACTTTAAAAATTTTGTTTGTATGTATGGAATGTTCATAAGTAGAATGTTCTTAAGTAGGGGACTATCTGTATACAGTTAATCGCAAAGAACAGTCAAAGTCCCTATGTGAATACCACTCCAGTATCCCTAAGGGAGGAGATAACATTCATAAATATGTATACTCCCTAGATCATTAACCCCTGTAAGTACTCTTGACAGAAAGTGGGAGGTCACCTATAACACCCAAAACCAGTCCAGCTTCTGCCAGACTGATAAAATCTGAAAATGGGGGAACTGGTTCATTGCAATAATAACACCATTTAGGCATCATCATACCCAAGAGGTTAAAAGCTTTTGTATTCCACATTGTGAAGCCCTTGATATGTAGGTTTACTGTCAAAGGCAGGTAGTTTCTAAGCATATATATTCATGAGGTAAAAAAAAAAATAAAAAAAAGTATTGTATTGAAGGCATATGGTTAAATCAAGGAATGAGGTGTTTGTTCTTTGGTTATATATAATGGTTGTGAATATCTGTTAAATGAAAAAGAGCAGCTATTCTTCCCTCTCACTCTCTCTCTCTCTCTCTCTCTCTCTCTCTCTCTCTCTCTCTCTCTCTCTCTCTCTCTCTCTCTCTTTTGTTGAAGCCAAGCTATTAATCATATGTTTTAAAGGTTATAGGTCTTCACTTTTTGGTTATAGATACCCATAATATTATGGATGATAGTAATTTACTCTTTTCACTTTCCAGTTTACCCCTTGATGAATGGGGATGTTGGCAAGCAGTATTGTGGGGTTTGCCCCCACACTCCTGATACTCCTGGACCCATGGCAGTAGAGTCTCCAGTGGAGCCTTGTAGCTCCTCCCCAGACACAACTAGTGGCACCAGTGGTCCCACAAGCCAAGCCCCTGGTAAAGCTGTGCAAGTTGACAACACAGTTCAAGACATGGCAGCAGCTGGACAGAATGCAGATCAAGAGGGGAATGCAAAGGCATGCACTCCCCTGGGCAGCAGCCAGCAGAATGGGGAAGTGTCTCCCGAGAGCAGTCGACCAAGTGCCTCCCCCCTCCCTGCCTCAGTGCCCACCCCAGACTCTAGTAGTAGCAATGCTCCCTCTACTGAAAATCTGGAAAAGCCAGAAGAACCGATTCCTGAAAGTAGCAGTAAAGAGGACACAACTACAAGTGAGACACAGGGCACACAGACAACGCCAGCACAGACTCCCACTCCGAGTACGCCCACGGCAACCCCTCCAGCACAACCACAACAGCAGCCCACCCAGCAGCCTCAGCAACTCACCCGGGACCAGATACAGCAGTTGGTGGCACAGCAAGTGGAATATTTCTTTTCTAGGTGAGTGAAGACTTATTGATTATTATTCTTTTTTCTTCTCTGGAGCAGTTGTAGCAACAGATTTACCTTTAACCCATTTTAACCCATCAAGTTTCAAAAGTATACATTGTGAGGGTTTGCCTGAAAGTGTCGATTTTGAACTTCAGAATGGGGGTAAGGTGGGGTAAGAAAAAGTTGAAAAGTTTAGGCATGTAGATATGGAAGGTCAAAGTTTTGCACTCATCGTTTCCATGTAACCTCTATAATATGGCTATGTGGCAGATTGAGTGCCAAAGGAAAACTGCACAGTAATTTATTTGTTGCACATATAGCAAATAACTAACTGATTGTAGTAACAAACCTGTTAAAACATATACATATTTTTTTTATCATTCTTTTTTCTTTTATTTTTCTTTAATTATCTATTTTTGTGCACTAAAATAGTAGAAATAGGTTTTAGAACATGTGTAAAAGCAACATCTATTTCAGGGAGAACCTGAGCAACGACCCATACCTGATCTCTCAGATGGACAGTGACCAGTATGTGCCAGTTTATATACTGGCAAATTGCTCACAATTTAAGAGCATCACTAAGGACCACAGCATTATTGTAGAAGCTCTCAAAGGTATGATTTTACTCGTGCTATACTTTTTAAGTTTATTGTGAGGCACATGAAAACCTAAGGGTTTTAACATTTTGAAATTTTTTGTTCTCATTAGTGTTGGCAAGCACATCCATTACATGCTTTTGAGGGAAAATAGCTCAAAGGTTTATATATGCTCTTGCTCACATTTACAGAATCGCCTTTTGTCCAGCTAGACGAAGAAAATAACAGAGTTCGGCCTAACTATAAAAGATGCATTGTGATTCTAAGAGAAATTCCTGAGTCTACTCCAGTTGAAGAAATAGAGGTATGTACAGATTATCCATTGTGGGTCTTAGTCATATATATGTATATACTGTCTCTACATCATAAAAAGACTGGTCCATGGTGCTGTTTGATCTGCTTTCTTTGTGAAAAGAATATTGTCTTTACTCAAATTTTAAAGCCAAAGATTGGAAACCACTGTTTTCTTGGTGAATGTTTTTGGCAAAGTTCTTCAAACCTGGTTTGGGCCAAGCATCACTACAAACCTGATTGATAATTAATTCATATACTGCACTGGTTACTGTCATGTCCCAGTATATCAAGTTAGAGTATAATGGAGATGTATACTTCTCTTACAGGCGATGTTCAAAAGTGACGAGTGCCCTAAGGTAGTTTCTTGTGAATTTGTTCACAATTCCTCTTGGTATGTTACATTTGAATCTGATGAAGACGCACAAAAAGCCTATTGGTACCTCCGAGGTGTTGTCAAGACTTTCAAGGTATGGTATCAGTTTAAAGCATGTTGTACACCTTTAAATACATTAAAAAGTATTTGCTGTTTATTGGTACATTATTTTGTGATGTGTTATAGCAAAGGTTGTATTAACACCTTAGATCCGGTTGTGTCACGGCAATCAAAAAGTGTTTCCTTATTTCAGGATAAGCCCATCCTTGCCAGAATAAAGACAAAGCCAGTGTCCAGACTAGGTTGTTTATCAGTATTACCATCATATGGAAATAAAGGAGGAGGTGAGGGGAAGGAAGGATCTGGTCCTCCCTCAACCCCAGGTTCAGCTGGGTTACCGGGAGGACCTGGAACTCCTGCCCCAAATACCAATTTCAACAACCCTGGGGGACAGCGGTTTATGTATTCATCAACGCCTTCAACCGTTACTGCCAACTCGTACACATATTCTTACACAACGCCAGCTGCCTTTGTAAGTAATTTAGTGTTTGTCTCTTTATTGTGCATACTTATTTTCTACTGGAAATTTTCTCTTGCTCATCTGTTAAGCTGTTAAATTACGCTTTCAAACATAGTATTGGATTTTTTAAAGTTGCAAATTTTGAATTTGAAGTGAGGGAAATTGTCTCAAATGTTAGACATATAGTGGAGGAAATAGCTGCATTGTTGTCATTTGCAATGTTGGGTATTCAACCATACTTATATCAATGACTTGCAAGTTGTTTTCATTATTGAAAGGCTCTTTACATATTCATATTTAAATTTAAACTTTTGAATTTGAAACCTTGCAATCCAGTAGAGACTGCAACATGCCTCAGCAATTGAATCAATTGTATTGCTCTTGCTGTTAAACCCAAGATGTAAATCATGTCAGGGCAGACCAGGCCAAAATGCTGGTTGGCAAGTATCTATGCCATGGACAGCTTTTACTTGTGTGTGCTTAACAGTTTTTGGTAGGCTCCTTCTGCAGCCAAAAGGATAGAGAAAATCTGGTTCTCAGACTTCTAATTTTGACATTATACTGAGGGGAAAGTTTGTCATGAATGGGTTAAAGAATATATTTGGTAGCTGTTGATGTAAATCCTTCAGTGTGGACTGAAAACTGCATTCTGATTAATGTGTGTTTTTACTAGTGGGTTTGTCCTTTCCCGCTCCTAGAATTTGAAAACGGCAGCAATTTCAATTTCCCAAATGAGCTATTCCCGTGAATGTTTCATTGAATGCTTGTTATTTTTGCATTTATCAGGCACATAATTGATTGTTCAACAAAAATAAATGTTTTAACATAAATTCTTCAACTTATTAAAATTTTCAATACATTTCTTTGATTTGTTCATGTGCTAATCTGCACAGGAAAATTATATAACTTTAAGCTGGTATAGATTTTTTTTTTCTTCAGTCTCGCTCTTACTTTCTCAGAGCTTGAGTTATTATTGAAATGTGTGTTTGAGATAACCATGAAATAGTTAAGATTTGAGAGATGATCAGTCTAATAAGAGATTAACTTTTTCAGTTCTACCCAAACATGGTGCAGTGGACAGCCCCAGGTGGGTTCTATGACATCAACGGGTTTCTGCAGTTCAATGGACTCTCACCACAAGCTGCCTTCAAGCCCCCAAGTAACCATAATGTTAGATATAACGGTAACAGAAGGTAAGTCTTCTTTATGTTTGTCAGTGTTTACATTTAAATTACAAATATAGATAGCATGAATCAGCCAGAGTAAAATTAATATGTAGGTATCCTTCCAGGAACTCAAAACACCGTGATGGCAGATATGATAAAGTTGACAACCGTCATAATAGTGGGGCTGGCCAAGGAAGCGGAGGGAATAGCAACAATCATGGAAATCATCAAAACCACTTCCCACATTATCCACCGCAGAGGCCACATCCCCACCATAGACCACAGTCCTCCCAGTCCCCATCCCAATCTACACACAGGAATTCCCAGCCTCCCACTAGCACCACTGCCCCTCCTCCCCCTCCACCTCCCCCTCCACCACAGCCATCAGCAGCAACATCAGCTGGAACCAATAACCAGAGCTTTGCTCAGTGCGATCTCGCAATAGCTAGTCAGTCTAACTTATACACATCATTTAGCCCCCCAACGGGTCCAGCAACACCTGTGATCCGGGCTGAAAAGAAAGAAGTGGTTACAGTCTCCAAGGCATCTAGTAGCAGTAGCCCATCACCTGTGTCATTAGCACAGACGCCTGTGCATACCACTACTGCCAGTCCTCCCTTCTCCAGTACCTCTATGCTCAATTCCTCAGTATCCACAACTACTGTGGCAAGTGTGTCTGCCACTGTTGCATCAACAACTTCAGCAGCCACAGTCAGTGTTGCTACCACCACAAGTACCTCACATCAACCAGCCCAGCAGCACCAGGCACATGGACCCACACAGCAGCAGCATCATGCTCAGCATCAGGCTCCTGGTCCACCACACCGGAACAACTACAATAATGATCATTATCATGGTCATTATCAATACCACCCTGGACCTAGGGACCCTCAACAACCTAGACAATTGTGAGTAGGCTTTTTTAATGATGTGCTAACACACTTCACTTTAAAAAAAAAAAAAGAAAAAAAAAATAGGTTTAGTTGTAGACTTTGTAAATAAGAGTAGCATATAATTGGCCTATTTACTTGTGAAATCCAGTTTCAAAAACTGGTTTTGCCCCAGGAATCGTGGTGTACGCCGACGACCACGAGGTCGGGAAGAGGAGACCCAGACAAGTGGTGGTAACCGTAGCATGCCTCAACGGGGAGGTACCACACAGCCTCCTAGCAATGACAACACAAAACAGGGAAATAGCCAAGAAGCAACTCCTCCTCCTCAACCTCCTCAACCACAGTTTGACCTTGAGGCTGCAGCTTTTCCCCCACTTCCAGGTGACTAAAACAAACATCTTCTGACATCAGTTGGGAGACAGAAGTTTGGCCTTGATTGTTGTGCTTATTGTTTATCATTATCATTTACATTGAGTCTTTGAATGGGATAACAGCATTTTCAGGTTATTTTTAAGATGATTTAGTAGGTCTGATTCACATCTCTTTAGAATAGACCAGAATAGAGGTTCTTAACTTTTTTGTTTTGTGCCTACTCTTGGTCTTTTATTATGGTGGGGCCCCTTCCACACACTTCCAAAGTGCAGATGTTTTCTGCAATGTTTGCTATAGGAAAAACTTGTCAGTAATGATTTTGAAGGCTGCAGGTTTAGATGTAGAAACAACCACATCAGGTCATGAAAAAATGTGCGTATTAACACTACATACATTTTTGCAGGTTCTGATGAGCAAGTTCCAGTTGCAGAAGAGAAGAGACAGCCTGAATCACTGCCTTCTGCATGGGGAAGTGACACTCAGCGTTTCTCAGATGTAATGAAAGGAACTGCAAAACCCCGTGCACCATCACAGTCCTCTGTGGGAGAGAAGGATTTGCCTTTAGAACCCTCTATTCCCTCCAGCAGTACTTCTCCTGCCCCTTCAGTCTCTGCAGCTGCAGTACCTCCAGTAGCCTCAACTCCAACATCCACAGCAGCTACTACCCAAGCTAGTCAAACCTCATCTACTACTACCACTTTACCATCATCTCAAGATGTTCTAAGCACAGCACCAACCACAGTTTCATTATCCTCTAGCTGTTCCACAGTTTCCTCGTCTACAACTTCAAATACCACCAGTAATGTAGTTGCCAGTAGCAGCAGCAGTAGCAGCAGCAGCAGCAACAGTAGTATTAATAAATTGGAGACACGACCTGTACCTAGGGAGCAGCGTGGAGGCCGGGAAGACAAACGGACATTACCTAATAGTGGGATGAAAGATAGGCGAGATTATACTCGGGACCATCAGAGAGATTTTTCACAGAGGGAATCTGGTCGATCAGGAATGGGTAGAGATCGTGATCACAGACTTGGCCGTGATAGCAACACTCGTACTGGAAAAGAAAACAGGCCAGTTCCATCACGGCAGTGGAAGGAAGAGAAAGTGGATGCAGATGGCTGGATCACAAAAGGGCCAAGGGAGTCCCGTGCTCACCGTGAGATGAATCGTGAACAGAGAGAAAGACAGGAGTCGAGGGAAGTAAGGGCTCAGCACCTAGTGAATGGGGACTCTTCCCCCCCACCCTCTCCTAAGTAAGTAGATTGTGACAAGTGTTTTATGAAGTATGTTATGCTTGTGTTAGTATATGTAGTGTAGTTTACCTATGTTGAAAAATGTACAGAAATAGCTTCTGGAAACACAGTATTGTTTAAGGACCCATAATCAAGAAATGAGAGATGCTTTGCTTGAAATAAAATATAGAGAAAATAAATGAGATTTTTTAAATGAAAATCCTATGAGTTGTACATGTAAGGTACAGGCAGTTAAGTATGAACCTCATACATGTTAAACAAGAAAATATGAACAGAATATAAAAGAAAGTAATAAAATTGAAAGTGCTCCCGCCCACCCCTTTATACACATCATATATCCTACTAACTTGTAATGGATCCTTAAATTTATACAGTTTTCAGTTAGTTATTTCCTTCAGACATTTACAAAATTTTGTGTATGCTGGTCTCAGATGAACAGTAACATAACCTTTAAGAAATCTATTT